GTATATTGGAAAGTAATTTTAAAATGTGGACCTTTTAAACATGAAAAACTTTCGTAGGACGTATTTTCTTGTAAAGTTCATATTTACTGAGATATTGCACTTTGACGCACTAATGAGCAACCCTGTATACTATATGACACCACAATCACGTCACTCATTTCACGGTAACTCCTATACTAAAGCACCAGTGGTCTATTTCAATTATTTCAGTGGTTTAGCCAACGATTTTGGTACATATAGTGTGCATACGTTTGGTTAGTGGTCAATCCCGGATATGATTTTGTTCCCTTTGTAAAATGAAATTTCTAACCCCTTATGACTGTCAAAGTTGGACTAGATTTTCCGGAAAAGATTATTATAATTCAGCAGCTTTATCTCAGGTCCACATCCAATTGATTGTACTGTTCTTCAAGCCATTAGAAATCCAAACACAAACTGTCAGTGAATCAGAAAGGCAAATAGCAGTAAAATAACTCATCTGTAAAACAAAATACGGACTCTAGTGCACATTGAAGAGACAGTGGCCGGTCGTAATTTAAACAAAAACTGAGCTATTTGCAGCAAAGATGTAGCGTAAGAAGAGATGTATTGAGGAGGAATAAAATTTACTGATTTTGGTCGGTATTTGTCATAATTCGCCATTTTTGAAACCCATTTTGCGTCTGTCCAAGTTCCTTTGTAATCTTCAACTAACCCAAACTAACCCAACACGCTTCCCTAGACAATGTTGAGTATTCTTGGTTTCATTTATGAAGATAAAATTTGAGTAATAAGTAATGTAATAAGCGGGTGAGCAGCTTTAAGTGTTCAATAACGCAGCTGACAAGTAGCCCTTACTCTCGAAATATTTTTACCTTATACTGGATACAATACTATGAACTTGTTCTGCAGGACCTCTTATGTTTGTCGGAAGCCGAACTGACGTTTTGGGCTCATTTTATCACTATCCTGTATGGTTTACAACTTTTCTATTTATTTTTGCCTAGGTAGCGGTCCCAAGACTTATCGTCCTGTAAAATGGCGTTTTTTTCGGTTTTTTTGCCCTACAGATCATGATGATTCATGCATATCCTCAGTCGGTTCGAACAATGTCATTACATTCGTAGGTAGTGTTTAACAGGAAGCGCTAGTAAAATTTTTCCACTGACTAGATCATATTCTGGTACTTTTCTAAATATTAATTCGTCTGAATTGGCTTGACTACTACATCTTATAGAATTTTGTAAATCCAGCGGTAACGCGGAATGTAAGTATCTCGCAGTTTCTTGTCTCAATACATAAAGTCAACACTCAAGTCTTTTTAGGCTCTTAGTTCCAGTTCCAAATTTTAAAGTTTGGTGCTTTCTATTTGCACGCAAATTGTCGTAACCACAGTTGGTCCATTGAAGTCCGCGTAGTTTGCAAATATAAAGTTATATAAATAAATATTCAATATTTATTCCCTGC